GCTATGGCCACCTAAGTTCTGACAAAGGTATGAACACCACCAGTGAAAAAAAGACAGCTTATTCAGCTAATGATCTTAGCAAAGCTGGATACTTCGCTGTAGAATTAGACCTTTGTTTTTCACACTATACAATTAACTTGAAATAAATAAAAGACCTTAGTTTAAAACTTGAAATACTGAAACTGCTAGAGGAAAACACAGTGAATACACTTTAAGATATACGTTTAAGCAAGAACTTTCTGCATAGAACCTCAGTAACACAGAACTAGGACCAGGAACCAACATATTGGATTACATGAAATTAAAAAGTTTCTGCATAGCAAAAGAAACTATTTATCAGCAGAGCAAACAGACAGCCCAAAGAATAGGAGAAAATCTTCACCAGATATACTTCAGACAGGGGGCTAATATTCAGAATTTAAACAGAACTCCAAATATTAAACACTGAAAAAGTCCAAATAATGCCACTCAATAAATGGGCTAATGAAATGGACATACAGTTCTCAAAAGATGACATACAAATGGCCAATAAGCATTTTAAGAAATGTTGAACATCTTTTAGTCATCAGGGAAATGTAACTTGAAGATACTTTGGTATAACACTTCACCTAGTCAAAATGGCTATGATCAAGAAATCTGACAACAAATGCTCCTGAGGATGTGGGGAAAGAGGAACCCTTATTCACTGCTGGTGAGAGTGTAAACATTATGAATATAATTATGTTAGATTTACAAAATAATAAGAGAACTACTATGTGACTCAACTATACCATAACTCCTGGGCACATACCCAAAGGACTCTATATCCTACCACAGAGATACTTCCACATATATGTTTGTTACACAGTTTGTTATTCACAATAGAAAGGAAATGGAACCAAACTAAATGTCCCTAAGAGATGAGTAGATAATGAAAATGTGGTATATTTAAACAATAGGATTTTATTCAGCTGTAAAAGAAAAAAAAAGGAATCATGAAACTTAAAGAAAAAGAGAGGAATCTTGAAAAGTTTAATATTAAGTAAGGTGACCCAAATTCAGAAAGACAAAAATTACATGCTCTCTTTTATATGTAGATCCTAGTCTGTTATATAAACATATATACATATAAGTGGGAATAATACCAGAAGAATCTAAAAACCTGGAAAGAGATCAAGAGAAGGTAAAATCAGATCATAAGCAAAGTTGGAAATAGGCAAAAGTTCACATGAGACATGAAAGAAAGATTTGGGGCACTCCAAGGGAGTTCCTAGAGGGGTTCAAGAGTAGTGGGGCTGTGGAGATGAGGAAGAAGAATCCACTAAATACACTTTTTTGAAAATGTCATGATATTTAATACCCTGAATGTTTATTTAAAAATAAAGCATCCTATTTTAAATATTTTATTTAATATTTTATTTATTTTTATGTGTATGAATGTATTGCCTGCATTATGTAAGTGGACCTGTGTCATGCAGTGCCTGCAGATGGCAGAAGAGGGTGTCAGATCCAATGGAACTGGAGTTATGGATAGTTGTTAGCTGCCATGTGGGTGCTGGGTACCAAACCCAGTTCCTCTGCAAGAGCAGTTAGTGTTCTTAACTGTTGAGCTATCTCTCCAGCCTCAGTAAAACATTTTAAAAAACAAAACAATTAATTTATTAAAAAGGGAAATTGGTTGTAAAATAGTGATACCAGATCATAGCAAGGATGAGAAATTAGGCCACTCATATTGCTGGTGATAATATAAAAAAGAACATTCTGGAAAACTGTTAGTACTTTCTTTAAAAATGAACCTGCACTTAGCAAATAACCCAAAAATGGAAAGGATCAAAACGACCTGTGATGGGTGGTTAAACAAGCTATTAGAAACTCATGAAATACAACTTAGTTAAACCACCACCAGGTCAGTAAGCATTATAGACATATGTGGCATTGTCAAATAATAAATTTAATTAAAAATAAAAATAAACCACAAAAGAAGTCTACCAACTATCTTAAGGGCAATTTGTCAAGTAAAAAAGGCCAACTTAAAAGATTCTTGTTATGCTAGAGAGAAGGCTCAGTGGTTAGAGCATGTATTGCTCTTCCAGAGGACCTGAGTTTGGTTCCCAGGACCGAATTCTAGTGACTTACAACCACTTGTTAACTCCAGCTCCAGGAAGTCCTGCACCTTCTTCCGGCCTCTAAAGCCATACCCACTCATGTGCATATACCTACTCAAAGACATGCATACCTAATTGAAAAATAAAAATCTTTAAATAAATATAAATGAATAAATGAATGAATGAATGAATAAATAAATAGATAAATAAATAAATGACCCTGTCATATAGTTTCATTGATGTGATACTGCTACAATGATAAGAGTGCAGAAATCGATGCCACATCAGTGTTTGCCAGTCTAGGAATAATTGGAAGTCTGGTAAGTGACTAAAGGGTTAGCATGGGGAGATGTTTGTGCTGATGGAATAGCTCTGTATCACAATAACAGCTGCGGTTACAGAAATGTGGTGAAATGACAGAGAATGCCCATTGCCAGGGCTGCTGTGAACTTCCCAGTTCTGATACTATGGAATACTATGTAAGATACAGCCACTGGAGGAGGCTGGGTGAAGGGCATACAGCCCCCTTCTGTCTTTGAATCTTCATGTGCAAAGATAATTATTTTTAAAAATGAAAATAGGTGAAACGTCAAATGCCTCAAGCCTCTGGTAGAATTGCCTACATTCTCTACAATAAAACACTTTCTCATCTCAATGATACACAAAGAAGCCCATCTTTTAATTTTGTAGGCTATTTTGAAAACAAAGATTAAATCCTCACACACAAAATAAACGTGATCTGCTTCTCATATACCGCAAGTTCCTTTTCCTCTCACCTCCATTCCATTTCCTGGCTTTTTATCATATCTTCTATTTTTATCAGTTTTCCTCTCAGTGACCTACATTACCTCCAAAGTTACTAGTCATATATCTTGTCTTTTCACTCCCATGAAACTGTCCACTCTCAGAAAACTTCCAACTAGGTATTGGATGACCTCCTTTCTGTCACTCACAGTGCATGTGCCTGAGTGACTAGACCTTCCTGAAAGTCACACATTTTGAAAAGAAAGCTAGTTAGCCCAAATTAACACTAACAATAAAGTTACAGTGCATGTGAGATTTCTGAGCAGAAAGGCCTTCCAAATTCTCCTTGCCTACTGAGCCACCCTGTCCCTTTCTCTCACCCTACCCAAGGCCAATGTGAGAGCTGGCACCTTGTTAACATTCCCAGGAAACCAAAGAACATTCATCCCCATATTAGAGACAGTGAGGTAACTTCTAAAATGACACAGGTGAATGAAGAGTAAGTTCTGAAAAGGGTGTGTGACTCAGACCTGATTCCTAGTCCCTTGTTAGAGTACTTAATCAAGCCACCCTCCCGCCTTCCTAATCTGCTAACAAACATCTTAACAGTGGAGCTAGGGGAACAGATGGAAACTGACCTAATTCAACTACTCTGATCCTACCCAGAGCAGGCTCTCAAAATGCAGTCAACCCTAAGATCAGTAGTATGCCTGGTGATTTAAATAGAGCTTTTAAAATGCACCCTTTAAAAATGTTAGAATTCTTTGTATGTGGTTAAAAAAAGAATCAGTTAGCACAGTACAAAACAGAAAAAAAAGGCAACTGTTTACTCCAGATAACATCACTGCGCACACAACTCACAAACCCATTTGTGAAGAGGGCAGAATCCGCATGCTATCACCAGACCATATTCAGTTTGGTTAAGTCGGATCCCTACACACACACCCTGCCCCCACCACTTCCATCGTGGCCAGCTTAGCAAGGCTGAGCACAGAAGCCCCAGGAATCAGCAGGATTACTGACCTGACACTTTCTTTCTCTTCATCCCTTGAACAGGGAACACGGCAAGGAATCATTGATCCTTAGTCAAAGGTTACAGAACAGAACCACAAAAAGGCTAAATAACCAGGAAGAGTTTTTAAAATTAATCAAATAAAAGAAGTACATTTTCTTTCCAAAACTTTGTTTGTTGAGGCAGGGTCTTGCTGTATAGTTTTGGCTAACCTGAACTCACTATGTAGTCTAGGCTGCCCTAAACTTGTAATCATCCTGTCTCAGTCTCTTGAGTGCTGACACTAGTCTGAAGCACCCATGCCCAGGTAAAAAAGTACTTTTGAAACAAACAGAAACTCAGAGTAGACAAGTCCAGGACCTATCGCCACAACAGGAGAACCATACAGTACTGAACCAACAGTAAGAACCATACAATATACACGTGAAGGAAAAGTGAGTGGATTTTACCAGGAAAAGCAGAACAGAGAAGCAAGAACTCAGGAAAAGCTACTAACAGTACATCAGAATTTATTAACTGGCCTTTTACTTTGGTTTGAGAAATTCCTGTTGCATTTTTTTCTCCTCCTCCCTCCACTTTTATGTTTGTTTGTTTTGAAATAAGGTCCCATGTAACTCAGGCTGGCTTTGAACTTGCTATGTAGCCCAAGCCGGCCTTGCTCCAGAGGGCTGGGACTACAGGTGAGCCAACCCGTCTGGCTACTATTTTGCTCTCTTGTAACAGGATCTGTTTTAGCAGGACACATGAAAGTAAGGCTTTTCTAGAGTCTTCCTGTTTTACCTAGTTTGTTTCTAGAGCTGTAACAGAATGCAGAGAGTATGTGATCTAGAAACAGATCAGAGCTTTATTTTGGCTCCTAGGTCTGAGGCTGAGAAGTTCTACAAGTGCAGTTGAAACTGCTGAGCTTCTGGTAAGGGTCATATGCTACCTCACAGCATGGTAGAGGAACAGGATGAAGAATAAGTGTGTGCATGAGAAAAAGCAGGAGCTGTGGAATTGCTTTACTATAACCCACTCTCTCGGGATGACTAACCCACCTCCCTAAGAAGTGCCTTAATCCCCCTTAATGACCTAATCATCTCTTGAAGGTCCCACCTTCCAACCCTCTCACAGTGACAGTCACATGTCAACACAAATTTCAAAACAAACTGCATACTTACCCATACGGTATTTCAGTTCCACGACTGTTTTGCCTTCTCTAATTAATTCTGTTACTTCACATGTATAGTTTCCTACGACAGCATCACGCTTATCCATTTTCAAAGAGGCATCTCCTTTGAGTAAGTCTACGACTGAGATTTTTGCACTTGAAAAGTTACTGTCAACAGTAGAATTGTTTACGTTTCCGTCATAGATGAAAATATATGTTCTGTTTAATTTCCACTTTACGAACATCTCTTTAGTGCTTTGTGCCTCCACATTAAGAACGAAGCATGGGATGATGACAGTTTCATTGCACCCAGTGAATTCTACAGATTTGACTTTACTAAGCAGTAGCTGAGCTGAACCTGGAAAATAAAAATAAAAGTATTCCATTAGTTATACAATTCTGTGCTATATAATCTATATATAATCAGGGTATTACAAATCCTAAGATAAAGAACAATGTTTCAACTGTTCATTTAAGTGTGCATACAGTAATGCAGAAAACCAACAAAGTGAGAAACAGAAATAATTTCTATACTAACCTGCATAGCTAGCAGACAAACTATAACTTTTCTTTATTCATTCGTAATAATAAAATAAACAGTGTCATGCATTTGGGGGATAAATTCAGCAATTGTGTTGGAACATGCAAGGTATAGTATCTAGCTTTGAAAGCTATGAAGTAATCATTTCTATTTACTGATACATGTAGGAAAATATTGTCCTTACTGTGGGAAGTTTTTGAACAGAAAACCAAACCAAATATTACATTCAGTCCCAGCTTCTATTCACTTCTAAATAGAACTTGCTAAAGTGATATGAAATTTATCTGTACACTCAGGCTGCATAACTAAAGAAAGTGGCCAGTTCTACTGTACTTTAATATACAAAGCAAGTCGAATGAATCAAATCTTATCTTTCCAAGAGGATGAAAAGTCTCAGAATACTAACGAGGAAAAAAAAAATTCTCTGTGGCTATTTCTCACTGCAAAAGAGAGACAGCTATAGACATTTTGTATTCAAGTCTCATAAAGGATTACATACAATTGAATGGCATTTTCCTACCCTGACATTTCATTGAATCTACAGAACAATTTCCTAATGTAGAATACAGGTATTTCTTCGTCCAACAAACCACTAAAATAGCTAAGAAACAAGTTGAAACCAAGAGCAGATCCTGCTAATGAGTAGGGAATACTCTTCAAATCTTCTCAATGACATAAACTACCAGTGGCAGCCTTTATACACAGGGCTGAGCCAGCCAACGTACAGCTCACTATTCAACTCAAATGATAAAAATGTGGAGAATTTCAGTTGTCTTCCACATCCCTAGGTTTTTTATCAAAGCTTGTTTAAAAAGTAGTTTGTTGGGGCTGAGGAGATGGCTCAGCAGTTAAAAGCAATGGTTGCTCTTGCAGAAGACCTAGGTTTGGTTCCCAGCACCCACATGGTGGCTAACAACCATCCGTAACTCCAGTTCCAGGGGGTCTGATGCCTTCTTTTGACCTCCACAGGCATTACAGGAATGGGTGCACTTACAGGAAATACACTCATACACATAAAATAAAAACAATAAATATTTTAAAAGTAGTTTGTTGATTTTTTCCCTCAAAAAATAAAGTATTCTTGAATTTAAAATATTAACC